TTGTAATAATTTTAATCCCTGTTTCGGAACAAAGCAATCGATCTACAGGTGTGAAAGCATCCTAAGTTTGCAAGGTTTGTGAAATTAAATTTTCATTAGCCATTCAAAGATTTGTTTTAAATGATGTAAATGCGTATTTGCTGAATGCTGACGGCAAACGAGAAAGTATTATAATGTTTGCCTTTCTATTACTAATAATATAAAAGCAATCGTTATAATACTTTTTGTATACATTTTAATTCCTTTGTTTAACAGTTCAGAGGGAGAGGGAGAATGTGAGCACTGTGTGCTCAGGCTGCTGCTGTCAGCGCCGGCAGGTCCGGCACGCCGTCAAAATAAAAGTCCCGCCTCGAACGCATCGGCCAAACTGAAAAACTTATCGGCCGAAGCCGATATTTGAAAAATGCCAAATATCGTCCGTTTTATCGGCCTTGCCGATATATCGGTCGACCACTAGTATGTAGGACAATGGGCCAACATATAGTCCCGTTGCGCAATGGGTGTCCCGAGTTCGAATCCCGGCTCGAGGACCTCTCCCCCGATCCCGCCCCCCTCTCTCTCCCACTTCACTTCCTGTCATCTCTATACTGTCCTATAACAACAAAGGCAAAAACTGAAAAAAGTGTACCTTTTGAAAGAGTACCACCCCAGTGACAGCTTTTGTACCTTTTTTCCTGAGAGTGTAGTATAAACAACTATATAATGTTACCATACTGACATTTAAACCAAAAGATGCCACAACAATACTATGACCTAGTGTAAAGGCAAAAATTATGACTTTTTTTCAAACATGTTACCCCGACTGGTTCTCCTGTTTGATGTTGATCAGCTGATGTTGCTGTTCATCTGAATGATCTCTCTCTCTTTTTTCCTGTTTCTCCATGTGTCCATGTAGTGTGGAGGAGATGAGAAGCGAGTGGACAGCAGGACAATCTATGTAGGACATCGGCCATGTCCGGACACCGAGGCCTTCATCCCCTCTAAATTCTGTGACAACAGGATCGTGTCCTCCAAGGTAACTTCTGGTATTTGTTATACTTCACCTCGTCACGAATCTGAAAGCGTGAGCTGGGCCGTTGCTTGACCTCGCCGTAGTGTAATCAGATTTTTACAGGATAACAGCATTAGGGGTTTACTAGCTCCCTTCAAGAGCCTGTTTGTAATTTTCTTTAGCTTGTAATTAGCAAGTGTTGTTTAATGCCATGGCAACTGCAACGCAGCATTAACACGTAAGAGATGTGTGTTAGCAGCAGCATGTGGAGAGTACGGCTGCAACACGCTTCTCTCGAGCCCTGGTGTTCAGCCACCTGTTCCTCCAGGTGTGAAGAGACTGTTGGGACCCTCCTACTGCGTTTGAACTTAGAAAGTCCTTTCCATTTTCTCTTTTTTCCTCTGCTCTTTCATAATTCACTCTTCACAAACTGCAGTAAATCTTACCACCCCCCTTCCACCCCACGAAGCTCCCTAATTTGCCTGTCAGAGCAGTGCTTGAGATCCGGCTGATAAATACATAGTTGCAATTAACGCTCAAGTGTTCGGGGTGGTTGACTCTGCCCCCCTTAATCTTGTGGGACTTCCTGAATCTCCTCATTCAGTCGATAGATGAGGAGTGTTTTAAGATACGAAAGGAAGAAACAAGGGAGTAAGAAGTAATAGATTTATCAGACCTGTGGCCGTGCTGTGGTTTCCGGTGATCAATTCCTCTCTGGCATGAGGCTTTAAACACACTTTAATTACCTGCACTGAGATGTTTACACTTCTCTATGCATCTGCTTTGCATCTTCCCCCTTCAAACTCAGCATAACCTTTTCTCCAGGGTATCCCTTGGATCCCGTTTTTCCTCTAAAAGAGGTCCAGACCTGCCACATCTTCTCGAGTTCACCTCAGTATAACATCTGCTCTGTTAGAAATTATGATGTATTCCCTTTTATCTTATTGCAGGTGCCCCAAACTGCCCTCTCTCACTTTCCTCACCCATGGTGATCCATTATTTAGCAATGATGGTTATATTAGGTGGCAATAGCTTTCCACATTCCAGTTATTTTTCTGTCTCTTTTTCTCTATTATTATCCTACATTATCCAGTCAGTATTTGCATTTATTTTCAGTTGTATTGCTGAGTTTTTGGCTTATTGGATATTTGAAATTCAAACAAATTATACTTCTGCCAAAAAAAGTGCATTTTTCAATGCATTATATTTTATGAAATGATACAGCTTACTACATTTTTTTTTTTGCCATTTTATACATGTATTTCTGTTGAATATAATAGAGTGTGCTTATATATATATATATATTAACGCGATTACATTTTTCAGTTTAACGCGTAAAAAATATTTAACGCAATTAATGCAGGGGTGGAGCTAGGGTTGGCCACCCCTCTCACAACTGCTGTTTCTGTCACTTTTTCTCTTGACAAGAAGTGCATTTATTCAGTAGTAGAACGTCTTTATGACCACATCAAACCAGAGGCGTTTCAGACGTGCGCTTCAACTTCACTTCAGCGCCAGGCGCGAGTCAAACGAGCGTGGAAACTGTACTGTGCTCATAGCGCGTACTCTTCAATCGCACGCACAAAGACACCGGCGCGCGCTGTAGCCTGTACCATTTCATATGAAAGCGCGAATGAAACAAACTACGTGCATGCAATGTCGTGGTCAGGAAAGTCATGAGGTTACCAAAAAGGCGATTAAAGCTGCCTTAAAACTGTGCATGTTTACACTGCAGGTCTTGATTCCCAATTCTGATTTGTTGCCTATATCTGATTTTTTTGGCTGATTACACGTTCTTTCAATTGTGACCCATATCAGATTCATGTATTTTACATGACTCCGTGAGTTGGTCTCTATTTAACCAATGTGGCAGAAAGAAACAAATAATGCATTACCTTTATCATTTTATATCTAGCTAAAGCATTCATGTACGAAAAACAAATAATCAAATGTAAAAGTAACTTAAGTGTGTTCATTACAAAAAATTGATTATTAAAACTACAAAAGCAGTTCAATGAAGTGCAGCGAGTGATTTCCTCTTTTCTTTTATTGGTAGATTAACATTAATGAGACAGACGTCCTATAACTGTAATGCACAGATCTAATATAATGTTACACATCAGATGTTTTACCCCAACAGTTCCCCAAGCGTTCACTTAAGACAGAACAGATTATGTTTGCGTGAATACTGAAATACTGTAAATCTGTATATGTGTGTATTTATCGGGATCGCGCGCCATCAGAAGCGCTGTTATATACACGCACTTCAGATGACAGTCAGCGCGAGAAGCGAAAATCTCAGAAAATGTACAAATAAAGATAATTTTAGGTGTTTAATTACCACTTGGAGCATTTTTCATGTTTTTTGCCTGTAGCTCAAAATAGCCCGTGCAAATTTACACTCATTTTGTCAGCACGGGTCACATATGAAAGTGAAAGTGACGTGACGTGGCCAAGTATGGTGACCCTCCCAATTCTGATTTGTTGCCTATATCTGATTTTTTTGGCTGATTACACGTTCTTTCAATTGTGACCCATATCAGATTCATGTGTTTACACTTGACATACCATCTGAAACATAAGTTGTTGTCATTTACCGCCTCCACATGTGCTTCCTCCTGAGAATAATGTGACCTGTGCTGACAAAATGAGTCACAATGAGCAATTAAAAAAAAACAATGACATTCTCCATTAAAAGACTTCCAGCATGACTTCCCCCATATGACGTCATTAAACCGCGGAAAAGTACCAAATTGTCGCAGTTTTAATGACGTACAGAACGCAATACCTCAGAAAATCCGATCTGCCTGTTTACATGACAGTCGCATTGGCACATATCTGATTTATATCCGATTTATTTCCACATATGAATGAGGCCTGGCTGATTACACGTTCTTTCAATTGTGACCCATATCAGATTCATGTGTTTACACTTGACATACCATATGAAACATAAGTTGTTGTCATTTACCGCCTCCACATGTGCTTCCTCCTGAGAATAATGTGACCTGTGCTGACAAAACGAGTCACAATGAGCAATTAAAAAAAAACAATGACATTCTCCATTAAAAGACTTCCAGTGACTGGAATCAGACAAAAAAATGACTGAGCTACAGCCGTTTGAAGTCGATAGAGTGAAGTCCTCCGTCTTTTCTTATTATTAATTACTATATTAATAATTACAATACAGCTATTTTTTATTTTATCTTTGCTATTATAAATAAGAACAGATGCAATAAAAACAAACAGTAGAACAAATAGCCTAGAAAGAAACAAATAACGCATTACCTTTATCATTTTATATCTAAACTAAAGCATTCATGTACAAAAAACAAATAATCAAATGTAAAAATAACTTAAGTGTGTTCATTACAAATAAATTGTTTATTAAAACTACAAAAGCAGTTCAATGAAGTGCAGCGAGTGATTTCCTCTTTTCTTTTATTGTTAGATTAACATTAATGAGACAGACGTCCTATACTGTAATACACGGATCTAATATAATGTTACACATCAGATGTTTTACCCCAACAGTTCCCCAAGCGTTCACTTAAGACAGAACAGATTATGTTTGCGTGAATACTGAAATACTGTAAATCTGTATATGTGTGTATTTATCGGGATCGCGCGCCATCAGAAGCGCTGTTATATGCACGCACTTCGGATGACAGTCAGCGCGAGAAGCGAAAATCTCAGAAAATGTACAAATAAAGATAATTTTAGGTGTTTAATTACTACTTGGGAGTATTTTTCATTTTTTTTGCCTGTAGCTCAAAATAGCCCGTGCAAATTTACACTAATTTTGTCAGCACGGGTCACATATGAAAGTGAAAGTGACGTGTAGGGTTGTGATGGTGAGGAAATTTTCCCACCGGTTAATCAACGTGTGACAACACCGGTGATACCGGTATCACCGTGGGGGCGGGGCGGGGGCGTTCCCTCTTTTCCTAGCTTTCCTTTGCTTTTAAATAGCTTGTTAAAGCGGCGTGCGCATTTTACTTTCACTTTGAAATAGCGGCAATTCGGCGTAAAGCAATTGTTCGTTTTTAGTTCGTTTGAATTTTCCCTCTTTTCCTCGCTTTCCGTCGCTTTTAAATAGCTTGAAAGCGCCGTGCGCATTTTACTTTCACTTTTGAATTAGCGGCAGTTAGGCGTCAATTGCTTGAATGCAACAACAAAATACAACGTCAAACTCACTTTAGCCTATATATAAAACATAGAACTTTTATTAACAAAACAAATAAAAATACACCATGCTATAGGGCAGGCTATGCCTAATATAAAATAACAAATAACTTACATAAAGTTTAAATAGGTATACAAAATGTGTGTGTGTGTGTATATATATAATTAATATACTAACTTGCGCTTATTCTCTTGCAAAAAAGTTTATTTAAAATGGTAAAGGCACAGCATCAAAATATAAAACACTTTCCTGTTTGTATTAGATTCAGCCTTATTTGATGTTAACTGTCATTCGTGAGCTAGTGCGCTTCTGCTGTTGTGTTCATTTTCTAAAAGAGTGCTGAATAAATAGCGAGCCATTGCCAAACGGATCATGTGGCAGGTTCCCCATTCTGGGGTTCGCCGAACGAAGGCGATAAGTCGCTAATCCAAATCAATGTAATACCTGCTGGCCCAGAGAGCTGCCGCCCGGTCACACACATCAGAGAGCTCCGGAGCTATTGAAGTCGTCTCAGCTCCCTCTCCAAGAAAAGCACAAACACAGGAGCTGATGAATATTGAATACATTTAATCCTTCCTCACGCTTTTCATTAGGATGTGGGTTTAGACTCACATTGCTGTAAATGAATAGTTCACTTAAAAATACAAAATTCTGTATATTTTGAAGAAAGTCCATTCTGTCCATATAATGAAAATGAATTGAAACTGTGACTGACAAGCTTCAGAGATGACAAAAAAGCACCTTAAAAGTAATTGACAACTTGTGTGCTATATCACGAGTCTACTGAAGTCATTTAATAGCTTTTTGTGAAGCGAGTATAAGCAATGACACAATTTCCATTTTTGGATGAAATATCCCTTTAAAACCCTTTTTACAACTTTAAATAAAGTAATTGACAGCTTGTTGGTTTTTGGCTTGTTACTGTTTAACACTTTTTTTTGTTGTTGTTTTGTTTTCTCACTTCCTCAGTACACAGTCTGGAACTTCCTGCCAAAGAACCTATTCGAGCAGTTTAGAAGAATTGCTAATTTTTACTTCCTCATCATATTCTTGGTGCAGGTAAGTGAGTGCATTTGATCAATCATAATCGTTTGCCATCCCCAGAGAGACAAACTGTTTATGTGTGTGAGGATACAAGTGTGTTTATGTGTGACTCATAGCCTGGCTGGTTCTGCCCCGTGCTGATCTGATGTCATTGGACCTGTGATGATAATGGCAGAGAGAGACAGTGAGACGGGGAAGCCTCTGCTCCGCTCCATAAAAGCACATGAAGGCAACCTTGGTTAAACTAGCGAGTGGAACCGTGTAAATAGCTGATGCCGTTTAGACAAGTGTGTGTATTTAATAAAGGGTAATGGTGGATTGCTGAAGAGCATATGGTCTTGTTGGTGTCAGGTACATGAGGAGTGAGAATTGAAGGCACGATTTGACACCTGACTCAGCAGCGGGTTTTTTTTTTTTAAATGTGTGAGATTGAGGCTAATGATTTATTTGGTTATGATTGTGTCCAAACCTGCAAATGCTGCAATCTCAGGCAGTATATGAGGTTAAGGCAGCATCAAGGCAATACTGTTCAAATGTTTGGGCTGAGTATGAATTTTAATAGTTTTGAAAGAAGTCTCTTATGCTCACCAAGGCTACATCTATTTAATTTAACAATACAGTCAAATTAAAAAGCATCAGTTATTGCAATTAAAAATAACTGTTTTATATTTTAATATATTTCAAAATGTAATTTATTCCTGTGATGGCAAAGCTGAATTTTCAGCATCATTACTCCAGTCTTAAGTTTCACATGATCCTTCAGAAATCATTCTAATATGCTGATTTGCTGCTCAAAATTTTTTCTTATTATTATCAATGTTGAAAACGGTTGTGCTGCTTAATGTTTTTGTAAAATCCATGAAATATATTTTTAGGGTTCTTTAAGTAGAAAGTTCAAAATAACAGCATTTATTTAAAATAGAAATCTTTTGTAACATTATAACTGTTTAATGTCACTTTGGATCAATTTAATGCATCTTTGCTAAATAAAAGTATTATTTTCTTTCAAAAAAATTCTTACTGACCCCAAACTTGAATGTGATAAGATTGGACTATGCACTGCAAAATACAACGTTTGACCATTTTTGCTGGCTGCCTATGCAAAAACAATCTGACAGTATAGGCTTATTCTCAAATGCATGAATGTATAAGCCAGTTCTTTTAAATGGGTCATATGATGCAATTTCAAGTTTTCCTTTCTCTTTAAAGTGGTACAAGCTGTTCGTGTATAGATAAAATCCCTAAAGTTGCAAAGACTAAAGTCTCAAATCCAAAGAGATATTCTTTATAAAAGTTAAGACTCGTCCACGCCCTCCTAAAATGGCTCGTTCTAACACGCCCCCACATGTCTACGTCACTGTGTGGGAAGATTTGCATAACGCCGCCCAAATGTTCACGCAAAGAAAGAAGGCGTAACTTTGATTCTCGCTGTAGTATTGTAGTTGCCTCCACCTCCATGTCGTGGAGACGCTGTGTTTCGTTGTGAAACTGAAAATACTTTGTTTGGCCTTCTAAAAGAGGACACAACTAGAAATCAGTGGTTAAGTTGTATTTACAACACTGTTCCAGAACAGTTCAACCCAAATATTCAGATGTGTGCAACGCATTTTACGGAGGACTTTTTCCTGAACCTGGGAGAGTAGCCTACAATGCCTGCTGTACACCAAATACACAAAATAATGTTCTTTTTAGCAGCGTCATATGACCCCTTTAATGAATCGTCAAAAAGACTTTCAAACTCATGTTTGAAAAATGAATTGGCGGTTGTCTGAAAATATAAAACAAGCATCTGACAGATCTTTTGATATCAGAAAATTCTTAGATAAAAAATGTTTGAATTTAATTGTCATGATCCAGATTCTCACTTAAATAAGCATTGTATATTATATGAATTAAATGTTATAGATCATACAGATCATACAGACATTATATGCTTAATGTGACTGAAAAAGATGCCTTCTTAGTCACTAAACAAGGCACGTTCATTCTATTTTGTCCACAGCCTATACGTGTGCATCTCACAGTACATCTAATGTGCATCCATGTTGTGATGAGATCTGTGCGTGTGTGAGAGGGAGAGATCCCCAGGTGTTTGCCCGGTTCTGGCATGTGTCTGGCGTGCCTCTACTAATCCTGCTTTTCTCTGGAGGGGCTCCTTATCCTCTCTGACTAGCTCTCCCCACGCAGCCCACTATTATAACAGCACGAGGGAGACACACACGCACGCCTGTCACACAAGAACTGCGCTTAAATCACCAGCCTCCAAATAGAGCCGCATGATTCTCCTGAGGCCCATTGCGAACGCACCATCGTCGTACGCCCATTTCTGTCTCCCCATGCCATTTTTCTGTTCCTCACCCCCTCTCTATTCCTCATTTCTTTGTTCTCCCCCTTCTCTCTCTCTCTTTCTCCCTTTCCCTGTACGCCTCTGCAGCACGGCACTGCTGACGTCAGCAGCCAGGAAACCCTCTGTAGTTCTTTTGAGCCACAAATAGACACTGACTGATAAAAAAGCACCAGTACGCTAAAAATAGCACTGCGTGCCTTCGCCGGGGTCCTGATGGGAAAATAGAGATGGGAGGAGGGAGGAGAACAGAAGGAGGGGAGGAGTCGAGGGGGATCTCTGTCTCTCACAAGCACATTTTGACACACATTCTGCTGGAATGTTCTAAATACCTGTGTGTGTGTGATTGTGTGTGTGTGCGTGAAGACAGATGAGGGATTGCGCTAACAAGCAGTCAGTGTTCAGCCGAGTGGAAGTGTGCGTAACCATAAAGATGAAATTAGTGCATAATCTTGTGAAATAAGAGGATATTTTTGGCCCATATATCTTAGTAAGAGTAGTCGAATGTGAGGGATGGAAGGAAGTACATACAGCGTGTACAGTATGATTCATTGATTCTTTATTTTGAACTATTCAGAATGTTAATTTTAAATGAGTTATTAATAATTCTAGTTATTTAAAAGCACGTGCAGGGTCAAACATGATGCATCTAAATGTTGTGCCACACTGTAATGCCACAAAAATTGAATGCATCTGCAGTGGCATCTGTACCAAAAAACTAGTTTTACCACAGGACTCCGATTTTACAATAGACCTAAAGTGGTGACCCAACAACCAAAACCTTTTACCATACAAAAATGTCCTTAATGCATACATGACTTATTTTAGTGCTGTCAAACTATTAAGTGTGATTAATCTCATCCAAAATAAGTTTTTGTTTACATAATATATGTGTATGTATTGTGTATATTTATTCTGTATATATAAATACACACACAGTATATATTTTAAAAATCTTTACGTGTATATATATTCATATAATTCATATCAGATATATTCATATCATTTATATTATATATAAATATATGTAATATATAAACATAACATTTTTCTTAAATATATACATGCATGTGTGTGTGTTTATATACATACACTGCTGACCGAATCCCAGACTCAGCCCTGGCTCCCATGGAGAAGGGTCAGTCTCAGAGAGAAAGAAGAAAGAGAGGAGAAACCAGGGGTGGTATTCCCAGGGGTCTGGTGCTTTCTTTGCTGTTTTTCATGCTTTCGTTACAAAAATACCTTTCTGAACTGCTGAATTTGTTCAACTCTGTCGTCATTTACTCACCCTGTTTACTCACACCTGTTCTTCCAAACCTGTATGAAAATGTTATGGTACAACTATGGTTAACCTTTTAACTGGTTATGGTTAACCTGTTAACTGGTTAACAGCAGAGGCGGACAAAGTACTCAACTCCATTACTTGAGTGAAAGTACAGATACTGCTGGTCAAACATTACTCCATTACAAGTAAAAGTTGGAGTGAAAATATATCTGTGCTAAACTTATACGTAGCGTCCAACTCACACACTGGCGAGTAAAATCTGAGAATTTATTAGCCAGTGGCTAATATTAGACATCATTTAGTCGTCCAGAGTGAAGATTAGTCGCATATGCGAGTGATTTACTCGCAATGTAGAGGGTTGCTCAAGTAAATGTACTTAGTTACTGTCCGCCTCTGGTTAACAATGAGTTCCTTTATTATATGCAGTAAAAAAGAAAAAAAGAAAAAAAAATCTAATGGGACATTTCATGTTCTTTTTTATTTTTTTAAATTTTTTTTTTTACTTACAGTGATATATTGTTTTAATGCACAAAAAACATTAATCAAATTCCCTGTGACACTTCACATTTATTTGATAGTTTTACATTTAAATAATTGTTTCTGCTTAGTTTTTTATGTAAGTGAAGGTTTTTTGTAGTTAAATTAATATTTATTACACTATTTTAGTGTAGTGTGTGCTACCATGATGGTGTTTTGTATTTGTGCATATGATACCGTGCACCTTCTATATACTGCATTAATATTTACCTCAGCTTGTGAAAAAGCTACTTGTTCATGTGACTTTCTCTTTACCACCTGGGCTTTTATGGTTGTCAGTAAATTATACATTTGCAAAACTAAAGATTTGAGTACTTTTGATATATTAACATTATATCAATTAATTAATTTTCTCTCTTTTTTATTTTTTTAAACAGTAAATTTGAGTTCAATCCACAAAACTTCAAATGTTGCTACCATAAAATAACTCTGTAAATAACTATAAATAATAAAGACAGAGCATCGCAATAAAAAAAAATAAAAAAAAAACAAAAAAACAAGAGGACAGTCTGTGCTGTAAAGGAGATTACGGCAAGACCGTCTTTTCCTACAATCAGTAAATAGTTACTGAAAACATTTTTGTTACTTGCAAAAAAAATAGTTTTACCATATTTCTTTCTTTCTTTTTTTTTCCAATGCGCTCCAAAACATTGACTTCATTGTATGGACAGAAAATCACTGAGGCGTTTCTCAAATATCTTCTTCTTTATTTATTTATTTTATGAGTGAACTATCCCCTTAATGTTGCTTTATCCTGAAGGTGTAGCAAATTAGCAAGAAAAGCCCTCTTTCTGCTCTTCCTCTTTCTTTTTCTGACGGCGGTGCCACTAAACAGCCGTCAGCAGACACCTGGCAACTGATAGATGTTTAATGCATGATGGGTCACTATTGAAAGATCTGTGAATGCGCACATACACCGCTTGTTTCTCATGGTGCTGCATGTTGTTTTAGCATAAGCTGTGGGGCAGGATTTAAAGATGCCTGAGTGCATTTGGGTTGGTCTGCGAGCTGTAACTTGTGGCTGTTAAGTAACCGCTTGCGTGTGACATGAGGAATGGGAGGCTGCATGATTGGCCGGATCGCAAAGCGGTTTAGATGACGTCTAATGGCAGAGTCCAAAAGCGAAGTATGTGTGTGGATGTTTCAGAGGGGTTGTTTGGGATTATTCGGTCTTAGACTGAGTAAGGGCTAAAAGCACTTTTTGGTGTTTGTGTGTTGAGTGTGTGTGTGTGATCGGGATGATGGGGATTATTAGCTGTGAGCTGGAGTGCTGCTGAAGGCTTTCACCTTCTGAAGTCCTGCCGGCTTTACAGTCTCTCCCTACAGGAACTTTGGCACCCACACGACATCTTTGTTTTTGAGCCCTTTCTGCAGTGAAGATGCTGTTTCTCACTGTGGTGTGTGGTTTTTGCGTTGGCCTCTTTCAGCCAGGCCCTGCAGGGTGTGAGAGGAAGACGCAGTGTGGCTGTAGCTCATAGGACGGACAAAATGTTCACACCTCTGTGGTCTTGACTTCATAACCTACCCTATTTTTTTTTCTTCCACATATACACAAACATAGAGCAAGTATTAATAACACCAAGTGGCTGTGACCTTAAGTTGTTTCCTGAAAGAGTGATGGTTTGTGGTCTCTACTGCGTGACAAACCGCTCATGTTAAAGATAGACTGGTGTTTAGTGTTTTCAGCAACTGGATCTTGGATGTTCAAACTCAAGCTATCGTGGTTATGTGACGCATGTTTTTCATGTCCAGCTGCATTATTAAAATACTAACAGTAAATTATGTCCTAAATTACATAAATTACTAGAGGTCGACTAATAGTGGATTTTACCGATACTGGTAGCTAGGTTGGACCACACTGGCCGATACCCATTAATCAACCGATAGTTTTTCAAATGGATACTGCTTTCACACTTGGTTCGCTTGCCTGGTCCGAACCCGAGTTAAATTGCTTCCCCCTCCCCCTGCCCCCGCTATACTGCGTTCATATAATTTAATTTGGGTCTGAACCGCGGTTCATTTGTGTCAAGCCAGCAGCTGTTTACCCCGTTGCTTAGTAACGACGGTGCAGGAGAAGGCGGCAAATGCATAACATTGCTCTCTGCACTTTTATATATTTACGTTTTTGAACCGTTCTGTTTACAAAGCTTCGGGACATAACGGCACTTATGTCTGTCTTACGAATGTACTGCAAATGCTCTAAAGAACGCTGAAGGCGAATAGAAACCCGAACAGCGCACCCGAGTTCGGAAGACAGCGTTCACATCATCCAAATGAACCAAACTCTGACGTCAATCGAACCCGGGTGCGCACCAAAAGTGCTAGTGTGAAAGCACCCTAAATCTCAAATAAATGCAATTTCAAGATGAATCAAAATTCTCCCCCCTTTTTTTGGAAATGATTCTGTAATTTAGCTTTGTTAATAATACATGCATGTGTCTCTTCTTATAGGTGATTGTTGATACCCCGACCAGTCCCGTGACCAGTGGTTTACCTCTGTTTTTTGTCATCACAGTGACGGCCATCAAACAGGTTGGTGGTGTTATGTTCTGAATATGCTCCTGTCTCTCTATATCACTAAATCACTTGATGTTTTATAGCCATGTGTCACTGTTTAAATAATGCCGACCCCTTCCGAGAGTCCGCCTGACCTCTGAATCCATCTCTCACAGAGAAAACAAATGATCCAGGGGCTTGTCACAACACAGTGGTCCTCTCGCAGCTTTAGATGTATTGTTTTAGGATCAAATTTTTCCACCCGCCTGCCGCTAGATTTTTTTGAATAGCACAATGGAAGGTGGACTTCCTTCCAGATATCTCTGGCCTCACACTGAGAGGGGCTCAGGCCTTAATTGGGCTTTGAAATAAGAGCCCGGGGGACCATGTGACCCCAGCCCACTTTGACTTCAAATGACTCAACTCCCTCAGCTCATTCGCACAGTTTCCATTATTAATATTGATGGAAATTCTCAGAGAATTGTTTTATTTTTACATGTGAGATGATGTGTTAGACTGTCTCAGTCCTCATTTGACCTTCTGCAGTTTTCACACACACCAGTGTACTGTTCTCACATTCTCTGTGTCTCTCCTCAGGGATATGAGGACTGGCTGCGGCATAAAGCAGACAACGAGGTGAATAAGTACCCAGTGACGGTGTTAGAGGATGGCCGGTCGGTGAAGAAGGAGAGTGAGAAGATCAAGGTATCTTTTAGTTGCTGCACCCTCTCCAAGTCTCTCATATAACAGGGACCGTGGGAGCTGGGAGTGGCAAGCTGCCGTACTTTACGTGTGGACAAAAATATGCCCACTAGGGGCGTTCACATCCGGGAGTGTTTCCGTGCTGTATATGGAATGGAACAAATGTGTTGTACACTGTGAAACAGTTAGGGTCAAAGATGTTTGGAAGAGTTTGCCAATACAGCTAGCTGAATGTCAATTATTTGTGTTGTAGCTGATAACCACTTTTGTAAGCATACACTACCGTTTTTAATTATTTCTTTTTTTCAGCAAGGATGCATTAAACTGATCAGAAGTAACAGTAAAGGCATTTATAATGTTACAAAATATTTCTATTTCATGTAAATGCTGTTCTTTTGAACTTTCATCAGAGAATCCTGAAAAACGTTTTTCACAAAAATATTCAGCAGTGCAACTGTTTTCAACATTGATAATAATGAGCAAATCAACATATTAGAATGATTTCTGAAGGATCATGTGACACTGAAGACTGGAGTAATGATGCTGAAAATTCCGCTTTGCCATCACAGGAATTACATTTTAAAATATACTAAAATAGAAAAAAGTTATTTTAAGTTGTAATAATATTTCACCTTATTACTGTTTTACTGTATTTTTGATCAAATGAATGCAGCTTTGATGAGCATATATTTTCGCTATATATTCCCATATTTTACAGTAGATGTTATTACAAATAGCAATCACATACCCAAACACTCTCACTTATTAAGACTCTTTTACATCAAGAATAGAAATATTCATCAAAATGGTATTTTAAAAAATGTCACTAATATTACTTATGGTCTACAGCCCCAAATTAGTCATCAAGTGGTGGCCGAACATGATACCAAATTTGTTATTTGTATGTCGATTTAAATTAATATAACCTATAATTACATAGGCTCTTGAATATGCAAACTTTAATAATATGACATTTTATAGAAAAAGTGACAATTTTATAAAAACAGCAGAGACACATGTGGATGTAACTTCATTTTACCTCAAGTTTTTAGTATTTCCATTATATATTATTTTAAAATTATATATTTTTATTACAATATTTGCACTTAGTTAGCATTGTATTTTGAATCTGAACAGACTTGTGACCCAGCAGCTATGAAGCACTGACCTGTGGTCTTGTTTAGAACTAAATCTTGTGTTAATGTCAATGTGCTTCTGGTCAGGTGGGTGATGTGGTTGAAGTGGTGGAGGACGAGACCTTTCCCTGTGACCTGATTCTGTTGCAGTCTAGTCGAGAAGACGGTACTTGTTTTGTCACCACAGCCAGCTTGGATGGAGAATCCAACCACAAAGTGAGCTTATGCATTCAGTCTTATATAATTTCTGCTGTTTTTCTTCTTGTAATCACAAATATAGTTGTCTTGATATAATCTAGATTTAATTCTATATTTTTTGTTTTCAGAATTGCCTAGAGTGATTTCTGTTCAAGTATAAACAGAATATGAGATATGGATTCATATACCATTCCTTTACTCTCCTTTAGCCAAAGTCTTTAAATAGGTGGCCCAGATCTTGTCATAATCATCCTTATGCTCCTAGTCTTTCTCCCACTTCCTTCCATCTGTATTTGTGTGTACAGCATGACCTGGAATACTAATTTGCCTGTCTTTCCCGCAGACACACTACACTGTGCCAGACACAGAGAAGGACCTGCAGGCTCTCCCTGCCACCATCGAGTGTGAACAACCCCAGCCTGACCTCTACAAGTATGAACTCCTCTAGCACAAACACTCACTTAGCCGAAATCCCTTTCGCTGCCTCATGATGAAACAGAAGGCATTGCGATCGTTCTTGAATATGTCAAGTCCAGTTTCAGCTCAGCTGTTCTCTGTAGGATGTTTGATTTCAGATCAGCAGCTAATGGTGTGATTCCATGGAAGAGTCAGACACTATCTAGCCTTTCTGTTTGAGTATAAGAACAAACAGACCTTGAAACAAACACAATTTGCAAGTTTAGAGAGGCAGTCCTTGGCCTCCAACTGTAATAGCAGTTTAACTCAGCAGCGCCCCCTATCGTTAAAGCCTCTTTAGGCGGAAGAACATTTGCATTTCTGATTTCTAGAGCACCAGATGTCGCCTGCTAAAATTCCGTCTATAAAAAAAACTTCAAAGGGCTGTTGCCAATATGCCAGACTGTTGGGTCATCACCAAAGAGCATCTTCCTTGTAATTGGTTCATTTCGTACAAGGCTCATTTGCATAGTGTACTGTACTAGAATACAGATATTATCATCAAGCCTCTTTAATGGGGAAGGAGTCTATATAAAACGAACGAAACGCTAATGCATGTGCATGATGGCGTCGGTTCTTTACCTCTACTGAATGTTTTCATTTTGACCTCATCAATTACTCTGATTACATTCCTGGGACGTCTGTGCATTCATTCCGTGTGTGTTTGTGGTTGAGAGAACATATATGAGCGTGTACGTGCTTGACTGGAGCTTGTTTGCTCTATTGCAGGTTTGTGGGTCGAATGCACATTTACAAGCCGGAGCAGGAGCCAGCAGTAAGGTGAGACCGCCTTTGGTCCGTTCCCATGGGCCCACTATATCCCCCAGTACCTCCTAGTCACTTCAGCTCTGTCTTTTCCCTTTGCATTAGCCTCTGATCATTATTCCATCGACCCGTAACGCCATAGCAGCATTAAGGTAAAGCCGGCCTGGCAGCTTCTCAAGCCCTGCACACTCTTCCATTTGTCACTGGGCCGTTTGAAAGGTTTTTATGAGTCTCTACGCCGTGTCCTTCACGAGAGCGAGCCAGGCCAAACCGGCCTACATATTTCCAGCAATGCTGCTCATTAGAAGCCACTTTAACGCGGGTTTGGATGCCAGGATGTGTCTTTATTGACATAATTGTTTGTTTTTATGGTTTAATTTAGATCTTTGGGCCCAGAGAACCTTCTCCTAAAAGGTGCTACGTTGAAAAACACCAAGAAGATTTATGGTAGGCCCTGGCACCTTTTAATTAGACGAAATATTTGATGACGAGGAATTGCATTCACCCGAATCACTCTTCGTTGCTTTTCCTTTTAAAGGTGTCGCAGTATACACGGGCATGGAGACGAAGATGGCACTCAACTACCAGGGCAAATCTCAGAAACGATCAGCTGTTGAAAAGTAAGCGAGTGACAAGAGCGTCATTATACCCTAGTGTGCAGTCAGGTTGAAATAATAATTTTTGGATTATTAGCAATGTTAATTTGAATGATTTGATATTGATTGCAAATACCAAGATTGATCTGTGTGTAAAAATATTGTCTCTCCACATTAATATTCCTGAATCAATATCAAATCGAGTGAATCAGTATGATGTGAATCAGAATTTAATTAAATGAATAACGTCTGCCAAAGTTCATATAACTAATGTATAGTCATCTATAATATCTTTATGCAGAAATTTTATTTATTTATTTATTTTTAATTTATTTATTTATTTAAATATATAGTAGTAATTAGGGCTGCCCCCGACTAAAGATTTTTCTGGTCGACCAGTAGTCGTTCATGTTAAGCGATTAGTCGACTAATCACACGTTTATGTTAAACCATAAATCATAGTAATGAGCGTTTAATTGCCTATGTAGCGCACAAATAAGGTTTGCCACACAGCGCACCGGCAGAAGTAATGATTATGAATGCATCAGGAAAAAAGCAAGGAGACTGCCTTAACATTTTAATTATTCGTTGATAAACCAGTGTTTGCTGTATTTTCGGCTGCAGTGATGAATTGACGAACTCCTCAGTGGATGCGCCCATATTAATGTTTCATACAGATCACATAACCTGAGAATAGTTGTTTTCCATCTGAATTGGTTCGTTTAAAAGCAGACATTTCGCTTTCTGTAGCTAGGCCTATATTTCTCATACCTGAGGCAAGTATACACGGAGTTTCGTTTTATTATTTGACGCGCTCAAGTTCAAAGACCGTGATGAGACGGCAGAACGCGTACACGCACCCTGTTTGCTTTCATTATTTGACAAAATCACAAAGTTTTTTTTATTAATTTTTTATTGTGACTGCACACAAATAAAAGAAGAGTCTTTAAAGCTTACAGAGATGTATAACTACTATTTGTATGACCAAAACATTTTAAGCGAAGTGATCACAACGGCGCGCGCTTCCTCATTCCGCACGAACACTGAAATAGCGCACATTTTTATAGGTTAGAGCGAGCGGCCATGTGAAGTTGCTACTAATATGTTTCAGATGATAATCCATATTTGAGGTCAATGAATGATAGGCGAGGGTTTGGATGGCCTGGCCGATGTACTGTATATTACCACATAGAGCAGCTGTTAATGATCTTTCGTCGCAGAATGCATGACTTCGCCACGTCCTGTGGATTATTTTTTTTCTGCGACTAAGCGACTAAAAAAAATGTGGTCGACTAAGCCTTTTCTCGTCGACTAATAGTCAACTATTAGGGGGCAGCACTAGTAGTAATATAAAGTAAAATAATCTTTATTCAAATAAAATTGTGTGATGATGATGATAATTTAAAAAATTTATTTAATTATTTAAATTATTTAAATTAAAAATAATAAGTGAATCAGGGAAACTTTAGTGTTGTTGTGCACTAAAAGTTTTCTTAGCATCTTATTTTGGCTTGTTTATATGGTTTTATGTGTACATAACATAATTAAGTACATATGATCATGTGTATGTTTTCTCTTCTTTGCAGATCCATCAATGCCTTTCTGCTGGTGTATCTGTGTATCCTCATCAGTAAAGCTGTTGTGTGTACTACGCTAAAGTATGTATGGCAGAGCAAAGAAGGTCAGGATGAGCCCTGGTACAACCAGAAAACTCAGAAGGAGAAAGACACTAATATGGTGAGTAGTCTGTGGATTTCACATCTGACCGATTTGAACATGATTACATGAATTAATTAGCAACTCCCTCTATATCATCTGTCATTCTTAATGCAATTAATCTAAATTCTGAGCTAATCTGGTCTCAGGTGGCTGTGGTCAGCTCTTACACAGATCATACTTAATAAATCATAATTAGGGATTAGCTTTATGTTTAACCTTTGCTGTTCCAGCCATGATATTGTGTCTTTGAAGAGACTGAATGCAGGTGTTCTGTCTTTGTTTCAGTATTTGAAGATGTTTACAGATTTCCTCTCCTTCATGGTCCTCTTCAACTTTATAATCCCCGTGTCCATGTACGTAACCGTGGAGATGCAGAAATTCCTGGGCTCTTTCTTTATCACTTGGGATAAAGACTTCTTTGACCCGGAAATCCAAGAAGGCGCGCTTGTCAACACTTCAGACCTCAATGAGGAACTTGGCCAGGTTAGACACTTTGTTCAAACCTGAGCTCAGATCTGACTCTTTAGCTGTTTGTTTTCATATGTAGAATAAAATGTGTTTGATGATTTCAGAAGTCAACCATGACATGAATATCATCTGAGCTCTCCCTGGCTCTTCCATGGGTAGTGAGGTCGTAGATCACCCTTGACTGGTTATGCAGATGATTACTCTAAATTACAGGCCATGCTTCGTTAAACTGATTTATGCAAGCAGACTGGTTTTGTCACAAATTAATTGTCCGTCCTTATCCTCAGACTCTGTTCATTTGAGAACGTGCTTTATTGCCTGGGTTTATAGTCATTAAGGTCAGCATTTGTCTGCGCCCTGCAGGTGGAATATGTATTCACAGACAAGACGGGCACGCTGACCCAGAACAACATGGAGTTCATCGAGTGCTGTATAGACGGCTTCCAGTACAAACACAGAGACACCCGGAGCGAGCTGGACGGCTTCACTGTGACGGACGGACCTGTGAATAAACTGCAGCAAAAGGCTGGACAGGTGAGTTACACTCATTCGGAGACCCCAAGGACCTCAGATGGGATTGATTTTACATTTACGGATTGCGTTGTTGGATGTGTACACCTCAATATGTAAACTGACTTTAAGCAGACCTCTTGAATTATAAATCCTCTGAGGCTGCGATATAAACACAAAGGCAGTAAACGTCTAATGTTTGTGTTGGCAGGCTATGAAGCACTAAAGTTATGTGTATTTTCTCCTCTCCTCTTTTTTATTTTATTTTTTTTACGTACTCATATTCATCATAAACGGGCAGTCCTTTGAGAGCACTTCTTTTGTGAGGGCCCTTGTCAGTGTGTAGTGCACATGATCTGTATACTAGGGTTGTCATAATACCAAAATGTTAGTAATCAATACTGATACCATCACTTTTCTCTACCAATTTTGATAAATATGGTATTGTACTAACTACCTTTATATAAAAAAGTTATATATTATATTATAAATATTAATGTTTATATATGAAATAATGATATTATAATAAATAATATAATGTTATTACATTATATATAACAAATGAAATTAAAACAGTGATGTAATCTTCAAGTATTTCGTAATTGAGCGTCATTTAAAGTTAAACTTTTTTTTATTGAAATAAAGTCACTAATACACACTAAAGGCCTGTTCACACCAAGGATGATAACTATAAAGATAATGATAAAGATATAGTTCTAAAAATCATTCTCAATGTTAAAGAATTGCAGAGTCCGCATCACAACAATAACGATAAAGGCACAGAGAAACAATATAGTTGGAATCGCTTTCAGAACAATTTTTTCCAGCTGATGAAAAATAAAAACGTTGACACCGAATCAGAATCAATCCTGCTGTCACGAGCTTGAGAATTTAAAGCGGCAGATGAACAGACGAAATCATCCGCTGGTGTAAACGCTAATATAGTTATCGATCTTGGCGCGAACAGGCCTTAATACTATTATAGTCTCTATTAAAATTTTTTATTCTATTTATGTTGTCATTTTCATTTTTTTTGTTTTTGTCAATTAGTCGTTTTTATTTTTCTATTATTTTTTTTAATTTTATTTATTTTAGTACTTCATTCTAAACTTTTTTTTTAAATTTCAGTTAGCTGCAAAGGCAACATTTCGAATAGTTTATCTAATATTTAGATTTAATTTTATTTCTTCTTTTTTTTCGATTAACAACACTAATTCTCACAAATATGCATGTGTTCATAAAAAGAAGTGTCATTTTGTATGCCTCTTTATTTCAATCTATCAGGAGAAAGAGGAGTTGTTCCTGCGGGCCTTGTGTCTGTGTCACACGGTGCAGGTGAAGGAGGCTGGATCGGAAGTACTCGCGGACCAAGTTGATGGGATTGATGGGTTGCTGCTGCCCCAGCCGGAGGAGGAAAGAGGCTTCATCGCATCCTCTCCTGATGAGATCGCACTGGTCAGAGGAGCCATGGAGTAAGATAATGATATTTTTCTTTTTTGGTCTGATAATAACCCATGCTGACACTTACAGGCATAACTTCTCTCCTGTTCAGATATGGATTCACCTTCCTTGGTCTGGAGAGCAAGAGCATGAAGATAAAGAACAGGGAAAATAATATAGAGGAGTAAGTTATGACCCTTGAAATTAGAGACTCATTAAGAACAATGTTATTGCTAATATCCTGCATTAGTACTTACACCCCTAGATGTTTTTAGGTTTTATCAAAAGTTTTATAGCAGTTAAGGGTCTATATAAGATTTATCTAATGTTTCAGGTACAAGTTGCTCCATGTCCTAAACTTTGACCCAGTTAGACGGAGAATGAGCGTCATCGTGCAGACCAAATCAGGTGAGCTGGAGATCATTAGTGGTGCTTGCTATGGCTTTTGCTATTGCTCATAATCAGGGTTATAGATTTGAATATACAAATAACACGTCCCACACCATTCCTCCTGGTGACTTGAATGATAACTCAAACCATGTGAGGAGGAGGGATGACCTTTTTAGCAATTAGACTTGGTGGATAAAGCAAGGAAAATGCCATAGGTTTGCATTAAAGCAGGGACCCTAGTACAGATTAGATTTTTTTTTTATTATTATATGATTTAAGTTCTTTTTGACAATATTTTGTATCTTTGCTTTAGGTCACGTCTCTCTGTTAAGGTTAAAATGCTTCATGTACAAAGCAGGGACCCTAGTACAGATTAGATTTTTTTTTTTATTATTGTATGATTTAAGTTCTTTTTGACAATATTTTGTATCTTTGTTTTAGGTCACGTCTCTCTGTTAAGGTTAAAATGCTTCATGTATTTCACTTCAGAATGAATAGCTGCTAAGTACAAAATTGAATAATTTATACTAACAGTCAACCACCACTCACAACTAACCACTCAGAACACAGCAACCACTTAGTAACCCCCCTGAACATCTTAGCATTGTGCTTGTGAGTTTTGCAGATGATGACTCTGAATGTCTCTCACCTCTGTCTTCTACGGTTTATTTAGGGGAGACGTTGCTTTTCTGTAAGGGAGCTGATTCTTCCATCTTCCCAAGAGTCAGACCAGAGGAGGTGGACAGGATTCGCATGCATGTTGAGCGAAATGCAACGGTACTGTAATAGATTTCAGCATGATAATGTCTTGCAGCGTCTTTAATTTCCAAGGATTAGATGACCAGTTTGATTTTTATACTGAAATGAAGCATAAACCTCCTTCATTATATCTCTGTGTTGAAAGAGACATCCTGTAGAGACATTAAATATTGAAAAGGTCAGTCAATTTTGGCCTAATGGCGTGTTTTCGCTCACCAGGAGGGTTACCGTACACTGTGTGTGGCCTATAAGCAGCTGAGTGCTGAAGAATATGCCGTGGCAGACACTGGGCTGAGGGAGGCTAGACTGGCTCTCCAGGACAGAGAGCAGAAACTCATGGCCATGTATAACCAGGTGGAGACGGGCATGAGTTTGATTGGAGCGACCGCTGTGGAGGACCGGTTGGTGACCCAAATTGGTATTTATGCCATGTTGTTTTCTCAAAGGAATATTCTGAATAGCCTAACGTCTTAACATCTTGTGTTCCAGACTTCAGGAGGAGGCAGCAGAGACCATGGAGGCCTTGCAGGGTGCTGGGATGAAGGTTTGGGTGCTGACGGGGGACAAAATGGAGACGGCAAAGTCTACCTGCTATGCCTGTCGTCTGTTCCAGCGGGGTACAGAGCTATTGGAACTGACTGTGCGGACACTTGAGGATGGGAGGTTAAAGCGTGAGGAGAAACTTCTTGAGTTGTTACGGGACTACCATAGAAGAGCAGTGCAGGACGCCCCACCTGTCAAAGCTGGGGTCACCAGGTCAGACCCTTGACCTACTGGCTTTGTCGTAAATGTTTGATACAGTTTAGAAATGTAATATGACTACATAGACGACGACTTCAATACTGACAGATTTATTTAATTTCAACTGATGCTGATAAATAAAGGAGAAAAAGATGTAGTACACAATATTGAATTTTTAATTGCTTGTGCTTATTTCCCTTTTTTAAATAAAATAAATTGCTTAGATTTTGCGTCACGCTATTTAATGTTAATCTTAAGTAAATCTCAAAATGAATATCAATTTTTATACTTTATATTTTTAAATTCTTTTTATACTCTAAATTATATAAAAGTCATGTCCTAATTTACTTGTAGCATTTGAAACTATTTTAATTTTTAGTGTTTTATTTTATATTTATTTAGACAAAATTGTGTAGTTTCAATATCAACCATTTATCAGTTATCGGTCATAACATGAAAATAATTGTCAGTTTATCATATTGGCCAGAATTGTAATATTGGTATCTCTCTAGTACAATTGTGCAGTATATTTAATGACCTCTAATTTAGTGTCATTTTTGTCCTGCAGGAGCTGGTCTACTGCAAATCAGGATTACGGCTTCATCATAGATGGGGCGACGTTGTCGTTAGTGATGAACCCACCACGTGAGGCGGATGCCAGTCAGTACAGGAGCCTCTTTCTGCAGATCTGCCAGAACTGCACTGCTGTGCTCTGCTGCCGCATGGCCCCCCTGCAGAAAGCACAGGTCACACCTGCAGACCGGCATTTCGGCGGCTCTTTATGCTTATAATACGCTTATAATAACATGCACTTATACTTTATGAATTAGTTGGCTAATATTCTCTTTTATCCAATTTAGATAGTGAAGATGGTGAAGAACTCCAAAGGTTCCCCAATCACTCTCTCCATTGGCGATGGGGCCAATGATGTTAGCATGATCCTTGAGGCACATGTGGGCATTGGTGAGTTATGATGCTGAAAATTCAGCTTTGCCATAAGAATACATTTTAAAATACATAAAAAAATAATATATATATATATAAAAAAAACAAAACAGTTGTTTCACAATAATACAGTTTTTAACTATATATTTTTTTATTAAAGTGATCATGGCTTAATCAGCATTTTTTCAAAGATGGAGTGTAATGTTGCTATTGTGTGTTCAGGTATTAAAGGTAAGGAGGGCCGTCAAGCTGTGAGGAACAGTGACTACGCCATTCCTAAACTCAAGCACTTAAAGAAGCTTTTGCTAGCTCATGGGCATCTCTACTATGTGCGCATTGCGCATCTCGTCCAGTACTTCTTTTATAAGGTACGTCTGGCATCCAGTGGACCCTGTTTCAGTCTGTAAATATAAATGTAGTTGTTTTAGTGAATCCTTTTGAAGTTTTAAACATTTTCTTCTTCTCTCCTGCAGAATCTTTGCTTCATCTTACCTCAGTTCCTGTACCAGTTTTTCTGTGGATACTCTCAGCAGGTACATTATGTACAAATAATGGGCTTTTTAGAAGACTATGTCCCAGCAGGTCCCTCTCCTCTGCTCTTTCCTTTGCAACTTTCCTCTGAATTTCTCTCTCTCTCTGCCCTTCTTTCTTCTGATATATATAACAAGCACAAACTAATACAAAAATTCAATTAGCTTTGGTGTAGTGGTTAGTGCTTGTGCAGATTTTGCCTTGGCACTCAACAAACTCAGATAGGGGTTTAAATCTGGCCTGCGTTGTGTTCGATCTCTTTTTTTCTTTCTCCTCTAGTAGAGCCCTTTCACTTCTGCTTTTGCCTTCTATAAAAAAAAATCCAGTTAAATCTAAAAAAAAAAATAATAATAAAGAGATAGAAATGACCTCTTAGTGGCTCAGAAGTCTCTGTGATTCCCTATAATTGGGTCTCGACCTCACATTTTCCAGCATGTGTTTTGTGTATATATATCAAGTGACCATCGCATGCGCGGCCACACAGTCAGTTTTCCCTCTCTTTGTTGTGTGCATATGTGTGATCTCCTTAACGTGGTATTAACCTCCCCGGTGCTCCGTCCTTTCCCTCGTTCCCCTTCCCAGCCCCTGTACGACGCAGCCTATCTGACGATGTACAACATCTGCTTCACCTCCATGCCCATTCTGGCCTACAGCCTGCTGGAACAGCACATATCCATGGAGATTCTGCTGGACAACGCCGCCCTCTACAGGTAGCACTCTGCACTGCTGCTCTTCTGCTTATTTCATTTGTACTGTGCTGTTGCTGATACACTGTGTTCTTACAGAGAAATAGCCAATAATGCCATGTTACGCTGGCGCCCCTTCCTCTACTGGACAGTATTAGGAATTTTTCAGGGTCTTCTGTTCTTCTTTGGTGTCCGTTTCTTGTTCAGCAATCCAGCCTTACAGGATAATGGGCAGGTTAGTGATGGTTGTGCTTTTTAATATGTCTGTGAATAAAAAATTGGGAATCGCATTTGATTTACTCCTTCCTTTTTTAGGTCTTTGGAAACTGGTCTTATGGAACAATTGTCTTTACCGTCCTTGTTTTTACTGTTACATTGAAGGTTGGTGGCTTGGTTGGTCTATAACTATAAAAAGTGACTCGGATCTTCATTTGTCAGAGACTGACTGTTTTCCCTCTGTCAGCTGGCTCTGGACACACGGCACTGGACGTGGATCAACCATTTTGTGATATGGGGCTCTTTGGCTTTCTATGTTTTCTTCAGTTTCTTCTGGGGAGGCATCATATGGTGAGCAAACGTTAAAGTCGGTATGAAACAGAAATCGTCCACTAGGGATTTTTTTTGTGCTGCAGCTCCACTGTTGATCATTTCCAGTCAGCTTTTATTGTAGGATGAAGTTGTATGGTCTATATCTTTCCTTCTCTCTCTTATTTCCTAGGCCGTTTTTGAAGCAGCAGCGTTTGTACTTTGTGTTTGCCAACATGCTGAGTTCAGTGTCTGCCTGGCTGGTTATCATCATCCTCATCCTCCTCAGTCTGCTGCCAGAGATCCTTTTGGTGGTCCTTCGCAAGCCCAGAGGCCCCCATTCACGACAGGTATACCTCTTCCTCCCTTTTCCTTTTTGAATTCTTCCTTTCTACCATATCCATCCGATTCTCTGTTATTCCCCCTGATTTACTTACTCTTCTGTTCTTCTTTCATCTTACACTGTGTCCTAACCAGGCGTAATGTGATACAGTCACAGCCAATAAGAAGATATTTGATGTTGTACGTTTACGTGAAGCAGAATTTTGGGACCAGTCTGAGTTACTGGTTTGCACAAAAACTGATTTACATGAAAGAGCGATAGCTTTTATTACTTGTTGCTTTATCACGTCACACCTGGTTGGGACACAGAGTTACATTTTTCTTTGAACCCAGAATTACCTCCCTGCTTTTGGTTTATCCATACCAGCCAAATTTGACCTTATTTTACCATTTAAGACCTTAAACTTTTTTTTCTTATACTCTCTGTCACTTCTCCAGCATCTGTTTTCTTTACTTCCCCCTCACTCTCATGAATTAAACCATTGACTTTTTTCCTAACAGAAGTCTTGCCTTGTTTTAAGGCACTGAATGGTTTGGATTGTTGTGATTGGTCAAACAGACAGGAAGTCAATCAGTCTAATTGTTACGATCACTCTTCTTCGATGTCCTCTCCTTGACTCCTGTAGCTTTTTGTCCCGTGTATCGCTCTGATTGAAATGCCCTTTATTCCATTAGTCAAGCACAAATTCTTCCATCACCCTGTGCTGCTGTGAGTGGCTACCCAACCAGTTAACATGTAACACAGTTAGAATCAATAAACAATAATTAGACCCCTCCAATCATTTGAATTATTTAGAGGAAGTAAGCACACACTGTAGGCAGTCTCTGTTGTTAGTGACACTAGTTAAGCAGCCTTTCAGGCCAGAGATGAGCATACGGTGCCAATCTGCCCCCTGCCTCCTCACAGGTAGGTGCTGCGACCTTTCCAAGTATGCCGCATGTCAATTAAAACCACCAGTGGAGAGAAAATGGAATGTATGGTCATGTCTTAATTACTTGATCTAGTAATGTCATTTATTCAGTTGTAAACCTTAATAATAAATGTAGAATTTATAGTCTAATGAACTTCATTGGAAACATGGCCTTTATTGACCAATGTAACTTGTAATATGCAAAATGATAACTTGTGTGTAGAGGTTGTATCACAATTTGTATTATATTATAGGTACCTAGAAAGAAAGGGGAAAAAATATAGAAAACTACACATAATTACTCTTTTTTTTTGTTTTTGTTATTTTAAATAATGACTTAAAGAGCTTGAAAAATAGCAGAAAGTGAGTGCAGTGAGTTTAGAAGGTGGTCATAGGTGTGTGTTAATTTTCATTTTACTATAGATAAAAGTGCATCTGATTAATTCAGAATTTACAGTCAGTCCTACACTACTGTTCAAAGTTTGGGGTCAATACATTATTTTTTTCCCGTAAAGGAATTAATACTTTTATTCAACATTTTTTTTACATGGATTACATTTAAAATGTTACAAAATTTATAATTTAAATAACTGCAGTTATTTAGAACTTTATCTTCATCGAAGAATTTTAAAAAAAAATGTTTCTTTATAAATATGAAGCATCTCAACTTTTTTTATTTATTTATATTGAGAATAGATTTTTATTGAGCAGCAAATCAGCATATTAGAATGATTTCTGAAGGATCATGTGACACTGAAGACTGGAGTAATGATGCTGAAAATTCAGCTTTGCATCACATGAATAAATTAAATTTTCAAATATATTAAAGTAGAAAAAAATGGAATGTTTCACAGTATTGCTGTGTTTAATGTATCTTTGAGCAAGTAAATGCAGCCTTGGTGAGCATAATATTTTTTTCAAGAACATAAATCTTACCAGCCCCAAACTTTTGAACGTTAGTGTATTGTAGAGAGTTTTTTGTTGTTGTTGTAAATTCCTGATAGTTTAATATTTATTCTGCAGACCATAAATATCTTACAGGATTTGTGTGCCAAGTAATTTCCACTAGAAAATTGTGTTTGTTTATAACTCAAAGAAAGCCCAGTCACTCATTTATGCTGAGCTAATCAATATTCTGCTGAATCAAACAGCACACACTGACGGTTCTAGTTACTGGAGCTTTATAATATTTACTCTTGTTTCTCTATCTCTTCTCCTTTAACTTTATTCCCACTTTTTCTTACCCTTGACCTTCCTTTAATTTTCCTGTCCTCTTTGGTCTCTTGCTCACCTGTGTGCTGTGCTGTAGATGAAACAACGGCTTCCTTCCTCTGGAACATCCACTATCTTCATGCTGTCGCAGACTGCTAGCACTCACAGCTTTTCCTGGAGTGACTGAGGTCTCTCTGCCTGCTCCTTTTCTGCTTTTTGTCTCACTGTCCTTCCACCTTTGGGTTGCCTGTCTGTATCTTCAGTGTCCTGCCTGCTGTCTCTCCACCCGTTTGTCTCTGCTTCCTCTTTGTGAGGGGGTGTTCGCTAGCTAGGTTGTTCTACTCTGGTACAAACGTGCTTGTCATGGGTGCTGGGTTTGGATTGTCAGTCAAAATATGTACCACAGTGGCTTTTTTTTTTGAGTGGGTGTTTGTCTTGAGGCGTTGTGCAAGAATTGTCCCCTGGAGTTGAGTCGTGGTGGTGGTGGGTGGTCCTCCATGTGCGTCTGTAAGGGCTGCAGGGTATGATGGGGAATCCTTCAGCTGCCTGTTCCCGGTGCCTGCTGTCTCTGCATGCCCAGCCAGGAGAATGTGGCACACAAACATACGGGGTTTCCTGCATGCGTGCTTGGCCCAGCCTGCACCGCTCCTCACCCAAACCACTGACTTTCTGGATGCATCAGTGCTGGTTGATTCAGAATGTGATTTTGTGTGTATGTGAGAGAGAGAGTTTATCATGTTAGAATTGGGGATTGAACAAAACAAAGAAAGGGACATTTTTAGTTTGGACAATTTAAATAATTTGATATGTAATTTAAAAGACAATACAGTAATTAGCATATTTTCATGATTAAACAAAAACGTCATAATGTGATTAATCATCATTATTATTATTATTATTATTATTTCTTTATCATTTAAAATTAGGCCCCAAATAGGGTACTACAGAATGGCTTTGAGTGTCAAACTCATTAGTCTACACTTGTCTCTCTGGGTTATAATTAGAGCCCGACCGATATATCGTTTTGCCGATATTATCGGCCGATATGAGCCTGTTGTCGATATATCGGTATCGGCGAATATGCCGCAGATATGAACATTTTTTTTAAATATCGGTACCGGTATCGGCCCCCCCAAAAAAAACATATCGGTCGGGCTCTAGTTATAATTACAATTTTACCCAAATATTGTATTAAATATAATATGTGATATACAGTATCATTCAAAAGTTTCAGATTGGAGATAAGATTTTTCAGTGTTTTTGTAAGTATCTAATGCTCACCTTGACTGGATTTATTTGATGAGAAACAGTAACATTTTAAAATATTATTACAATTTAAAATAACTATTTTCTATTTTAACATATTTAAAAAATGGTTTATTCCTTTGATGATGGTAGATAATAGTTTTTCCAGTCTTCAGTGTCACATGATCCTTCAGAAATCATTCTAATATTCTCATTTGATGCGCAAGATGCAGTTGTTGTTATTATCATTGATGAATAGGAAATTCAAAAGCAGCATTTATTTGAAATAGAAATATTTTATGACATTATAAGTGTATTTACTGTCACTTTTTAATAAAAGTATTGAAAATAATCTTACTGAGCCCAGACTTTGGAACGGAAGTGCAGTTAGAATCAATTATTTGGCAGGTTTTCCAAAAGCACTGAAAGAATTGCTAATGAAATCATTAAGAAACTGGAATCATTATGTGAATTCGTTGGTCTTCATTGGTTAATATTGTTTGAGTGTTGGCTGACTTTTTTGTGTGGTCATATTCATAATCTAGTAAAATGGCCATTATCATTTCTACCATGAAGGATAATCTATATGGAAATTAAAAACATGCATAAACGTGGCCTCAAATAAGAAATCTCATAATTGTAAACGTCCTTCACAGTGTTTGGTCTTCTTTTTGAAGAAGGATGTACTGTATATCAGTTTTGTGTTTGGGGGTGTGTTGTGCGTGTGTGTGTGTGTCTGATCCATCCTGTCCTAAGTGTCTTTCACCCCCCTCCCACCCTTTCAGAAAAAGCCAAGTCAGTCGAATGTGGGGGGCAGCCAGTCCTCTCAGTCTTCAGCCAGACCCCTGCTCATGAGAACCTTTTCAGACGAGTCCAATTCTGTCATATAAACAGGTACAAGACCCCAGACTTTCCAATCAGAGCCCCAATTGAGTGACTTACCCTAGCCATCCACAAGGGATTTGCCTCCTAGTCGGTGCAGTTCCTCCCCGTGGGTTCGGTCGGCCCCCTCTGGGATGATTTTAATTTCCTCTGAATTCTGCTGTGGAAATTCTCCCTACCTCAGGATGAACTCACATCGGTTGGCTGAAAAGACATTTAGTCTGACATTTACAAAAGAGACACACTGCAGCTCAACGGCCTCACACTTTTTCAGTGCTTGGTATTGCAGAAATATTTTCCCATTAAGTTTCTCCATAAAGATTTAAAATTCTGTGATTATGTAATGTCATATGCTAACGGGAATTTTGCAATAGAAAATCTGTCTGGAAGTTTGTTAACATTTGTTTTCTCTATGGACAGTTTTAATGGGATTTTTCTACTGTAATCGTGGCCTCAAATAAGAAATCTCATAATTGTAAACGTCCTTCACAGTGTTTGGTCTTCTTTTTGAAGAAGGATGTACTGTATATCAGTTTTGTGTTTGGGGGTGTGTTGTGCGTGTGTGTGTGTGTCTGATCCATCCTGTCCTAAGTGTCTTTCACCCCCCTCCCACCCTTTCAGAAAAAGCCAAGTCAGTCGAATGTGGGGGGCAGCCAGTCCTCTCAGTCTTCAGCCAGACCCCTGCTCATGAGAACCTTTTCAGACGAGTCCAATTCTGTCATATAAACAGGTACAAGACCCCAGACTTTCCAATCAGAGCCCCAATTGAGTGACTTACCCTAGCCATCCACAAGGGATTTGCCTCCTAGTCGGTGCAGTTCCTCCCCGTGGGTTCGGTCGGCCCCCTCTGGGATGATTTTAATTTCCTCTGAATTCTGCTGTGGAAATTCTCCCTACCTCAGGATGAACTCACATCGGTTGGCTGAAAAGACATTTAGTCTGACATTTACAAAAGAGACACACTGCAGCTCAACGGCCTCACACTTTTTCAGTGCTTGGTATTGCAGAAATATTTTCCCATTAAGTTTCTCCATAAAGATTTAAAATTCTGTGATTATGTAATGTCATATGCTAACGGGAATTTTGCAATAGAAAATCTGTCTGGAAGTTTGTTAACATTTGTTTTCTCTATGGACAGTTTTAATGGGATTTTTCTACTGTAATCCTGCTGTTGGACCTATACACAAGTATTTATTTAAGTACTAAAGTAATAGCCCACAATGCTGTACTGTTGACAGTAAGGAATCGGAAAACAAGCTGAAGGAAAATAATGAATTAGTGAATATTAAATGATCCTTTCAGCCTGCCAGGGGAAGCTCCGCCCCTCATTATGTCATGCACGTGGCTCCTCAAGTAACCTGTGATTGGGTCCTTATTAACTGACTAAACCAGTCCTCTGTCATGTTGTTCTGGGTAATCTCATCTGGGTTTATTTGTGTGAATGAGTGTGTGGTTGTGTGGTGTAATACTTGAAACAGCGTCATGTTGGTCTTACTGTGTCTTTTGCTGTACTGGGTATTTGTGTGATGTGGTAGTTGTTGTGTTTGTAATTGTAATTTTTTTTATTTTCTTTTGTGACAATGGAAGTCGTTTAACCCGCCTGATGGCTGTCTAACCTTTGTATGACATTATTTTGGTTTCAGTGATTGTTTCCCTGCATTAATGCTTTGCATTCTGCATGCTGCTATGCTAGTTTTGCATGTTTATCTGTGCCAAAAGCTTTTGGGGTCAATTTGTGATGGTTGTAGTAAGTTTTTGGTGAGGCTGTAAGATAGGAGGTACTCGCCAGCATTAAACTTGCTTTCTGTTCTTCTCAGCTGTCAGAGGATTCCTCGACTGACACATACAGGTAAAGTGCTCAATATGATCAAAAGGAATGTTCTGGGTTCAACACAAGTTAATTCTTAAACATCTGCGTTTACCAACAAATTCGCCCAAAATAATTAACATCTGTAATGTGAAACCAAAAAGTACATGTGACAATTCATTGGACAATTTTGGCTTTCTAATAGCAGAGATAACACATTTTGAATGGAAAATATAAATCCATTCATAGTTGCTAATGCATTTATAAACATGCATACTTATATAGTTTACATTAAATTAATGTTTGTTACAATTATTTATGATTATTTCTCTTTTACTCTTAAACAGAGAACAGTCCAAATTTCACAGGTTTTCAACAGGCTTTCAACAGGCTTTGTATTGTAAAAGTACAGATTAAACATCTGCAGTCTTGTATTTCCACCTATGGACAGTCTGGTGCCCAAATCAAAAGTGAATTGCGGGTGTTAACGTTTTTGTCAAAAGGGAATGCCACAGCCCTTTTTCTCTTGCCATGTAGCACAGATTTCAGAAAATGTTTCTCCTTTCTACTTCATAGACAGCCCAGTTTTATTAAAAGCCCAAATCGGCAGCTATCAGTTATAGTGATTGACAGCATATCTGACATTGAGTACTTGTTTGAAATCCAGAACATTTCTTAAACCAGGATTCACATCAGCATTTTATTTGGTCTAATATTATGAGTGAATAATTCCTGGCCACCAGATCCTCCTCTGATTAGGATGGTTCTTTGGTGCATATGAGTTTGATTTGGTTTAGGGTTGGTGTTGTGTACAGAATGATCTGGGTTTGGTTTGGTTATTTTTGATGAATCAATCAAATAAGAGATGTACACCGTTGCTAATCACATCTTTCCTATTCAACTGTTAAATACATTTCTACACGTGTGCTAAAGAGTTTTGTGTGGTGATGTTTTTGTGCACCGCAGATGGCTGCTGTCACACCTCTCTCCTACAAGCATCTGAAGGAGCGCTACTGATGGGCACGGACAGCCTTGGGTTAAGACTACTGACCGGACCCTCACATCTGCCGGGGTCGCTGCCCTTCTTCCTGCCTGTTTAAATGAAACATGACAATGGAACCAATTTAAACTGCTTTTCTGTTACATCTTATCCTAAAGCCTTCCATTCCAGCACGATTCCTCAAGAACTATGTTTTCACACCGTTTTCTGCCCTGCCCTACTGCCAAACTCTCATATTCAACCCTACCGGGATGAATGCGTCGTCAGTAGCGCTCGACTGCTACAGAATGTACCAACATCCTTATTGGTTCTCTTGCATGATCGCCCCAAAAAAGTCCCATAAATGCCACTTTCCATACTTCGTAGGCAGACAGTCGGCCCCTTTTGGGATCGGTTACCAGGTGTGATCACAATCCCAAATCGTAGTTTAGAGTTTTGTGATATGTAGCTGTTCGAGATCCCTAAATGTGAGCTCTCTAAGATGCTGCACTGCGGGCCCTGACCCTATGGGTATAAAAGCTGCCTTTCAACAACTTGCTGTTTGTTCGACCACATGGAGTTCTGGGATATCCCACGGAGCCCAACAACTCTGTATGTGTACTTGTGTGTGTATGTGACAAATCGAAAATCAATTTCAGATTTTCTTCTTATAACGTATTGTCACAGTCTTTCGATGTTACTCTTTGTTGAAACGGGGATCAGTTTACAGTTGGGTTACAAATTGTACTAGTGGGAAAAAAAGTGTGGAAAATGTTGCTTGATGCCAAAAAAAAAGAGAGAGAATCCATTAAAACGGACGACCGACTCTCTTCAGTTTTTCGTTGAAGATGAATTATCCATTGTTACAGCATATGCTAGGATTGGTTCTCGATGCAAAGTTAATAGCATATTTCAGAGTGAGTCTGAGTTAAGCATCCATTCACTTTTTAGCCATTAATGACATATATATTGAATGTGTCAGCTTTATATACCAGGCCAGTGCTCCAAAACACGCTTTCACGTCCACGTGCACACATTTCACTTTTGAGGAAACCGAATGAATCTGATGCATATTGAAAGTCATGTCTGCCCTCTAGTGGTTTGGAGGGCTTGTAATCTTCATTCTACTTTCTTCGCTTCTGAATACATTCCATTTCTATGTGCCATAATTTCAAACACTTTTTAGATTATAATTGAATTATTTGTGATTCTATTTGACATATTTATTGTACATTGTAATTATTCTCACAAATGTTGTATTTTTGTCAGAGGTATTTCGTTCTCTTCTTAAATTAATCATTATCAGCTTGTGCCAACTGATTTTTTATTTTATTATTCTTTTAGCCTGTGCAATCCGCTGTTGAACAGATTGAGTTTCTATATCCAGACCCTGTAGACCAGCAGCTCTGGGCTCTTTCTCTGATCAGAGATCAGTCCTATAGACCCTCTCTTAATATATGGTGTGTGTGAATGCAACTGAAATCTCTGTGTCCCTTTAAAATGAATGAACTATTCCATTCTTCTTTCTGCTTGTAGCCCAAAATGGGTGTTAAAAGAGCCACTGCCTGGCATGTTCTGTAATCGGGCACATTTTTATGTTATGTTTCTCCTAAAACAATGCCATATGAAAGATGCCCCATTCCTGCTTCAGCTATCTTCAAGCGTGTATGTGGATTATCCAAGGGAAAGTGGTGTGTGTTAGACCTCTGACTGTGTCATGATGCTAAGCATCTTAAGCTCAGCTCCCAGTCTTGGGCCGGGCTTAATCCAGCTGTATCACAGCCCTGTGATAAATTAGCTTTCCAGAGAAAATATATCAGAGCTCTATTTACATTTGCTTTCAGCTAGACAGGGGAGGCCAGTTGGTGTGATGTTTCATTGTGAACATTAGTCCAACGTGAGCCCATTTTTGTTTTTCTCGGTGCATGTGTGACTACTAATGCCACCACTGGACTGAACCCTGGTGAGCACATACACACTCACACCAAGATGAAGACACATCCATGTGTTTGTTAAGCTCAGTTTGGGAGGGGAAAACAGAACTTGCCTGCAATGTTTGAAATTTCCAAACAGACCTTTAAATTACTTCAGAGATGCTATTTTCAAAGCGTATAATAATTCTTGGATTCTCATGTTGCCTGAAATATATATATATAAATATTTGATTGTATTTTTAATGAAACTTTTTGAGCCACTTTTCGTAAAAAAAAAAATGAAAAC